ACGTGAGAAAAAAATTAAAAACTGAAAAATCAGTTTTTCGCCATTTTCTCGAAAAATTTGAGGTTATGTTGAAAAATGTCAAATACAAAAGTTTTAGATTTTTTTATTATCTATTACTTTTGTATTGAACATTTTCCGCTAGGAGGTCACCCTTCGCCGCAAGTAGAGAAAAACCGATTTCAACCCCTAAACAGCACCCCCATTTCACCATTTCACATTATCTCATGTTTAAACATTTTTTTTTTCGTTTTGTTACAACCTTAACTTCATTTTCCAGCCGGTCGTTGCCTGTTATTAATTTTTTTTCTTTTTAGCATTTAAAATACACTTTGGCACCAGCCTATGTTGCCATAGAGACGGGAAAAAGTAGTAGGAAATGGAGGAAATTACTTCGATTAAGGTATTCATTCATCTTCCCTTCGAAACAAATCAATTTTGGAGACGAAAAAACGGCAGGAATTAAGTTTAACACCTAATATATAATAAAGGCCGCTTCTAAAAAATTTGCATAAAAAAACTTTTCTATAATCAAATAATTAAATTATATATACAGTGGCGTGCAAAAGTTTCCGGCCAGTGATATTTTGTACTTTAATTTATTTGAAAGAACCTAATAAAATTTTAATTATTATTATCGGTCGATATATCAGCCGATAATGATTAAAATTTTATCAGGTTTTTTTTATAAATTAACGTACCAAATGTCACTGGCCGGAAACTTTTGTACGCTATTTGTACATACAGTTTAAAATATAATTATTTCAACGCGCGGTACGTTGAAAAGAGATCAAAATTTTTAACTCCATCGATGTTTCAATAAGATGCGCCATATGCATGCACCGCGTCGATGTGTTTTGATGGTATCGATATCGATTTGATATCGATTTGATATTAACTTTCTCACTGGGTTATTCGGCGCTATCTTTAAACGTTAATATCTCGTTAACTATTGCGCAACCTACAAAATGGTATAAGATTTTTCGATTCAATTCGGTCCGTTCTACCTGCTCGTGATCGATTAGCCGATTATTTTCAAATATCCTGTATATATACATATATATATATATATTTATACGTAAAACGTATATATATAATAAGACGTAAGACTCTACCTTGACCGCTCGCACAGTCTTATATGGATTACGAATATTGCCGATGAAGATTCCAAAGAGAATCGAAATGTTCAAGATTTATCAAGATTTTAAATAAAGAAGACATCAACACATCGAATGGAGTAACAAATTTATTTGTTAAAATTTTATTGCGCACCTCCGCTCGCGCTGACTCTCATTCGCCCGAATTAATTTTGTTTTGTCATTTTAAAGAGAGAGAGAGTCCTTATTTAACATATTTAATTTTAAATGACAAATAACGTCAGCTTGCTACCTGAACATTATAACATATTAACACAAAATGTACAATAATACATTCTATTATTTAAATCAATGGGATTGTAACGAATACAAATATGAACGAAGATGGCTTTATTTTAGAAAGAAAGAAAGACTAACGTTTGATATTCAAACTTACCTCGAGAAAAGTAAACGACGTATTTGCTTTTATTCTTTACAGACATTATTATAAGAATTCTCCGGTGCGATCAGCATGCAATGATGAGTGTCGCAAGAGATTGCTCTGCGATCTACGCAGTGGAAGAAGCCACGATCGAAAGGCGTTATGTCAAAATTTGGAAGCGAGGATCGACGATGAAACAAGAACGGGCTGGCGTGCGTGGATATACAAGGGACTGGCACTGTCGTACGTAAAGGATTTGTGGTTTGAAATGCATTCCGGCAACGTTAAAACTAACGAAGTCGATTAATCAATTGCTCTGACTAAATATATCGTAATAATCATTTCTAAAATCGATCTGTACTTGTCTGTTTCTTAATTCTTACAAATCTGAAACTTAAAAAAAAGAACTTCTCTTAAATATGTATATATAATAGATTTTTCCTCAATATGCTTATTAAATTTCTGCTTTTCTTATTTCACACGCATTTTTATACTAGTTGTATATTTACAATAGTTTTAAACGTAATTGCAAAATGATAATTTAGAATTTGGATAAACTATTTAATACGATTTAAACGATTTATGATAACAAGGCCAAGATTTTTATCCAACGATTAAGTCTAACGTCATAGAAATTTTATAATAAAAATTGTTATAAATAATAAAAAATAATGGAGATTAATAATTAAAAACACCATTTCCAATATTGATACAAATAAATGTTGTACAAATAAAATGTTAATATAAATAAAATGTTGATATAAATAAAATGTTGATAAATGTTGATACAAATAACGCAGCTTGATTGCAGTTATGCGACGATATGTTCATGAAAAGTATTTACAATATTTACACAATAATAACACTTTGAGAAGTTATTACGTATAATAGTTACGTTTTTCCATATTATTTTATTATAGGGTAACTCCGGTATATACGCTGCACTTATCAAAAACTTAATTTATTAAGTATTATTTACTATGTTTAAAATAAACGAACTATCAGTAAAAACTTTGTACTGTCTACTACTATGAAAAAAATATTAGAAATCCGAAATATTTAGTTTTCGTATTAAAAAATAAACTTTTTGAAATATCTTGCATTTTTGCTATATATAGATAATGGGTGGGATATATGGCAAAAATGCAAGGGTTTCAACAAACTAAACAAAGAATACGAAAGCAAAGCACTTGTATTTTGCTATACAACATGATATACTATTCTTCTACACGTATGTATCACGAAATAATCACTAGGTCTTTTACACGCCTTACACTAATCATTTTATGTAGATTATAATTTATGATGCTACTTGTTATACACACAGTGACAAATCGATTCAACTCACAATAATTTCATTGATATTAACAGTAAGAAGCTGAAATTATAACTCAATACTAATATAACATAAAGGCATATAACAGAGTAGTTACGAAAAAATTACCCCCATTCCTTCTATTTTTTCTGACTTCCGCGACGTAAATCTCAGCGCGGCGTATATACCGGAATTACCCTATTCTGTATATATTAGGTGTTGAACTTAATTCCTGCCGTTTTTCGTCTCCAAAATTGATTTGTTTCCAAGGGAAATACTTTAATCAAAGTATTATTAATAAAGTATTATTAATTAGTAATAAATTAGAAAATGGAGGAAATTACTTTGATTAAGGTATTCATTCATCTTCCCTTCGAAACAAGTCAATTTTGGAGACGAAA